TGTTCGTGAAGTGATTGTTGACAAAATGAATCAAACCCACATTAAATGTTTTATTTTTAAATTCACGATTTTAATTGATCAATCAATCGATGGTCTCTCCTGTAATAACTTTGTATATATAATAATAACGACAATTATTTTATGTGGTCGAATGTAGAAGGTTGAGTTCCGTGTGCTGAGATGGCCTGAGAGTAATTTCTCTACAAAAAAATAACAAAAAAAAAAGTTTAGACGGCTGTCCTATTCATATGTTTCAAATTTAATAAAATAGACTATTGTCTTGGCCCGAGTGATGTCATTTTTTGCTCTTTGCGACAAAGAAGACGCAAAACCCAACTTGATTGAATTTTTATTCTCACGTAGCACAGTGTGCGTGTTTTGTATGTAACATGAAAAGCAAAAGCTCACATTGCATTCTCAGTTGTAACCTTGTTTAGAATATTACACAAAATCAATTTCTAAAATATGCATCCACCAATTGATTTTTCAAATAGCAAATAAACAATTATTATGATTAATTGTCTACATCAACCACCAGGGAAGGGCAAAACACATGAAAGGTTGACTTGGGTGTGAATCAATTAATAAGAAAAACTATTATTAATATATTATTTTAGATTAATTAATAATCACAACAGTGCAAGCACACAACAGCAAGTTTTTAGATTGGAAAAGATAAAGTTTCATTATGAATCGTAAAATCTTATAATTGTTATTGACTTCCTTTTTCACAAGAAGATTAAACCAACTCCAAGCTTTATTGGTTATGATGAGATGAAAATTCAAACTTGAAATTGCATATGGAAGGTTTAATGACTTATTGAATCCTTTGACTATTTCAGAAAATTCTACCAGAATCTCAGATAGAAGTTAGAGGGTTAATTCTATTGAATTGACAGATAGCCTTAGATTTGCAAATTATTTTTTTAAGATTTCACTTATGTAATTTTTTGTATCTTTAATTTATTTATCTTCATTTCATTTTTTTATTTTCCTTAGTTTAATCTACAATGCATGGGTCAGACATAAGAAAATTTTATTTAAAATTTGATATTACTATGAAACAAATATTTTTAAAATTCACTCATCTGGAAAACAGTATAGTAACATCAATATATTCTATTATTATGATGTATATTCTACATAATTCTAGAGGCAAATGTACAATTCACATGCAAATTGTATATTTTTTATTTGTTCATTGTTTCCAGATGTTATAACACAAATTTAATTATAATCCATTGTGGCAAGGTTTTACCTACCACATCTGGACGATGCAATTTATTTGCTAAGAGTACAAATTACAGTCAGACCTCCATAAATGCACCTACCTCCCTTGGGACTGAGGGATAGCATGCATTTATGGAGGGTGTGCATTTATAGAGGGAAGCAATTTCATTGGTTGCACATGATACATAATATTTTAATACAGTAATACTCATACTTACCCAATGTATCATATCCGGAGTAAACATTTCTTTTTTCTAATGATTGAATATTAAAATTAATATATAAAACTTGTTCGCCATTAATTATCTTTATGCTATAAGTGTTATATATATAAATAAAATATTTTTAAATACTTGAAACACCTCTATTCTAGCTCCAAATTAACTCCATTTTTTGAAGAATCTGAGCTTTCTATTGGTATGTTCGTTATGTCCTGTAAAATGATTTGTTGTAAAATATAAATTACTTTGAAAGTTATGAATTTCATGTTTATGGATTTATTATAAATTTATTATTTTATATTTAAGAAGTAAATAAATGTGACTAAAAAATTATCCATCAGCAATTCTCCATTTTAACTACTCACATTAGTAGTTAATAAAATTAATTAATTAACTTGCCTCATATTTCATAATTTATAAATAAGCTTTCATAATATCTGATTCAGTGAATGATCTTTATTAAAAGTCTCTGAAAGAGTTTTCGTGAGCCTCTCTAAAACTTATTAACCAACACCCCCTATAAAGTAATAACCATATGAAAGCTTAAAGTATTCTATACCTTGTCTGTTACTATCAAGTCTTTTAAAGCGATATTGGTAGATAATCACAACTTTGAAGTGAAAAAGCACCACTACTTTTAAATAGCCATAGCTTTATATAGAGAGCGTTCTCAGATATAAAAATATATGATTAGAAAGCTTAAATGGTGTAGTTTCTTTTTATCTTAATAGTGAAGTTCGAGTTTATTATTAGAAAGTCAAGATATTTTTAAAACCCGATTTGTTACACGGATTTGAAATTTTAATTTCACATATGAAATTACACTCTCTGTGACATGTCCCACGACTGGTATATATTAATTTGAAAAATTTTTTTTTTTGATTTTCTTTATTGATTTTAACAATGATCTAATAATTATAGTAATAACAAGTAAATAAATAAATTGTAAGAGAGGAAGTTGACATATATACTCGCTCACCTCCCAAAAGTCCCAAAAAAATTTTATTTTAATATTTTGTAGAGCCACCATTACTATTAATGCATACTCGATATTAAATATTATATTATTTATCAATTTTATTCTCAAATTTTTGAGTGGGTTCCGCTCATAGATGTTCAAGTCAGGAGACTGTGAAAGCCAACTAACTAGTGTTCTAACTTTATTTTCTTGAATCTAAGCAACTACATCTCGTACGGTATGCATAACGGCATTGTCATCTTGAAAATGATAATCTCTGCCATTATATTTTTTCCATTTATCCGTGATTCCTTCTACTAAAACTAAGCACCACTTAAGTAGACTCTCCTTTTGTATAAAGGTCTTTGTGCTGGAATGTGAGAAGAAAAACCAAGGTTACGCAATGATTTAGGATTGTCTTCTATGTTTTTTTCAAACCTTTGTTAAAGTGCTATGTGGTTTTTTATGGACAAGTTTGAGCTCCCAGGTCGAGGTGTACCAAAATATTATGGATTATGGACTGGTATTCCAAGGACTTTACTAAATTCTTTCTCGCTATTACACTATTAAAGTTTTGGATGATTTTGTTAGAATGACTCATCTAACCGCAAATATTTACATAATAATAATCAATCTTTCATTTGATTTGTATATACACAAAAATCTTTTTTCGCCGTGTAACTGTCTATATAGCACAAATTTAGAGATTATATTTTTGTCACGCACAAAATATGCGCTAACCAAGATTTTATACAACAACTGTGCTAAGTAAACAGGATCTTATAGTGATATATTATGTAAAAAAAACTTGAATTTTGGACAGAGAACCCCGGAACTGTTTTTGCTAGTCTAGAGAATTCCCCAATATATATTATTATTTGCTTAATCTCTACAATTGCGTATAATATACGTATAATATTTGTTACTGTTTTCCGGATGTAACCTCAGTTTCAAATGATTCGTATGCGGTTTCTCCACTTCGTTTAGCGAAAGAACAATTTTAGTGAGGAGGGAAAATCAAGTAATTATTAGAAATTTTTTTTTAAATTTGTTTTTTATTGTCATAGTTTATATCGTTCATAAATATTTAATTGGTTTTTAGTGTTGACTATAGAGTAATCAGCATCCCGATAATCAAATGTTTGTTTCGGAACCTAGTTCGTGTTTATAGGCCTTCGGACAAACAGACGATCTGTAGAACAAAACCTTGAGTCGTGAAGATGTTGGTGTAACGTGAACTCATGATGTCCCAAGAAGATCAGACTGTTTTGGCGGATGGTTTTGGTCTTATGCAAGGGTTGTGAGTTTAGGAATCCGTTGGATCTCATTGGAGATGCCTATCCGACGAGAAACAGAATCTCCTAACTCCTGCAAGTTTTGTACAAATTAATTTCCAAATGAATGTACGAAGATTGGGTGTACAGTTAGTAAGAATTGTTATGCGACCGTTATTATTATTATAATAATTATTATCATCGATTTAATGTAAAAAAAAACCACGTCTATTCAAATATTATTATATTTTTCTATCCGTAATCCAGAGCCGGTTAAAGTTGTGCTTGGCTGTTGAAATAAAAAGAAATTATAATGTTAATATTTTTTGTATGCAGTAAATTTTCCCGGCTGCAAATATATATTAATATAGTCTTTTAAGTAAATAATAACTAAAATCGTTTCGAATTATGAACAATAATAAATAATATAGTCCGTTTTTATTTCTCACAAGTCTAGCTCAAGTCAAGGGTAAATACAGCCATTTTTGTGTAAAAGTTAGTTTGCAGGAATAATTAGGCTAAAATCCTCCATATGTTTTCTTTTTTTTTACTTTCTCTCCAGAAATTCAAAACAATGTGACCTTGTTCTTGAACTAATCGGCAGTGTTAGTGGTAATTACCGTGTGTATATAAACAAGTGTACAAGTAAGAGATGATCTTTTCTTTTTTTAAAAGATAACTCTCCAGTAGCCAAACATCCAATGTTAATATCCTTCATTAGAGTTATCTTTGTCTTTCTATGATCTGTGATCTTAAGATAATGTGTCGATTTTCTATGACCAATATATTTCAAACCACATCTAATATTAATTGTAAGTAAGTATATAAATTTTGTGATAGCAAATGGCAATATATTCACCAGACTGTCTATTCACATATCAGTAGTTAACGCTAGGATGTCCACATCTTCGAACAACAGGCAATGGGAATAAACGAATGCACATGTTCCTTTTGTTACTAAAAGTATTAAATTCTCGTCAGAATCCAGAGTAGTTCGTTCCCAATAACAAGCGCTAAAACTGATCATGCACATAAACGATTGGCAACTCGCATTTGTTATTATTTTGACATTACCATTACCTATTCTATATATAGATGAACAATCTATCTTACTATTTATAACTAACCTTTTTTTTTTCAAACTAAAAAAAATGAATTGATTTAAAAAATAGAGAGAAAAGAATTCAAGAATTTATGACGTTAATTTAAATATTCTAAAATAAATTCCGGGGTTTTTATATTTATGTGTCCCAACAATATATTTTTTTTCAAAGAAAAAAATTAAAAAAAAACAAATTATAATAAAATAATAAAAAGATGTCAAAACCTAAAGAAAAAAGTCTTGCAACCCATTTTCTCGCAGGTGGTGGAGCTGGTTTAACGGAGGCATTATGTTGTCATCCGTTGGATACAATTAAAGTGAGAATGCAGTTAAGTAAAAAGGTAAATAATAATATCAATTATTAAATACATAAACATATATATTATTGCATTTATCTATATATTGCACATCTAATACACACACACACACACACACATATATATGTGAATAATAGGCACAAAGGCCAAATTTCATTACAGTAGCAATTAATATCATACGAAGGGAAACACCTTTAGGTTTATATAAAGGTTTAGGTGCCGTGGTTACTGGGATTGTGCCAAAGATGGCTATTCGTTTCTCAAGTTTTGAAATGTATAAAGGATGGTTCGCTAATAAAACAACAGGAAAGGTTTCAACAAGTGCTACATTCTTATGTATGTATGATTTCATTAAAAAAAAATTTTTATTTGTTTATTTATATGATTAATTTAATTTCTTGATTTCTTGCTATATAGCTGGGCTTTTAGCTGGTACCACAGAAGCAGTATTTGTTGTTACTCCCATGGATGTGATTAAGATTCGGTTACAAGCTCAACAACATTCTATGACTGATCCATTAGACATTCCGAAATATCGTAATGCGGCACATGCAGCATTCACGATTGTTAAGGAGGAAGGTATTTTGACTTTATACCGTGGAGTTACATTGACGGCTCTTAGACAAGCAACGAATCAAGCAGTAAATTTTACAGTGTATCAAGAAATGAAAAAATTAATGAAAAGATTACAAGAAACAAGAGAAGGACAAGAATTACCAAGTTACCAACATTTATTAATGGGTGGATTAAGTGGTGCAATGGGTAAATTAATTTTTTGCTTTCGATAATAATATCATTACTATTATTCTTAATACCAAAACGATTTTATTATTTCTAGGTCCAATTGCGAATGCACCAATTGATACAATAAAAACTCGTATTCAACGTGCACAAAGCACAGAAACAGGATGGAAAAGATTTAAATCAGTTACAGGTTCATTAATCAAGAATGAAGGTTATTTAGCTTTTTATAAAGGACTGTTTCCTCGTTTAATGCGTGTGGGAGTGGGACAAGCTGTTACTTTTGCTGCTTATGAAAGAATTAAAATTTATATAGATATATTCTCTAAAAAAGGGATTTTTAGTACAATTGATGATTCAATGTGAAAAATGAATAAATATATATTAATATATATATATATATATAAATATACTAATAACTATTATAACTATTTACTATTATTTAAATTAATTAATTAATAAAATTGAAATATATAGAATATTTAATTTTTAAAGATTTTTTTATTATCATTGTTTGTTTGTTAATATTGTAGATTTTTAGAATTTTCATTTTTGTCAATGAATGGATCCACGAATTTAATATTGTTTTAATTTACTATTGTATTTTTTTTTTTTTATAAATACTAATATAATACTCTCAAATTTAACAAAAAAAATTTTTTTTCAAATTCTAAAAAACACAAATAAATATACTTCCTTTATTAAACAAGAAACCATGTCATTAGATGAACGGGATTCATCAAATGAATATAAAACAAAACCGTTACTAGAAAAAAATGATGTCGACGACTATGGAATTTTGGATGGAAAACATACACCACAAAACATTGCATTATATAGTTATTTATTTGGAGTTGTAACTGGCGGATCTATTGCAATTGCATATTACTCTGAAACTATTCCTCAACTTGGTGTCTTCTTTGCTACATTATCTATTTTTCATATATTAGAATATATCATAACAGCAATGTACAATTCAGACAAATTATCATTAGATTGTAAATATATTTATTATATATAGAAGATTTATTTTAAATAATTATAATTATGATATCTAATATTATAATTATATATATATTATTAGCATTTTTATTGAATAATGGTAGGCCATATCATATCGCACATACAGCAGGAGTTTTAGAGTATTCCATAGAATTATTTTTTTTCCCTAATTTAAAAACAATAAGGTTGTTTCATTATACAGGTAAAGAGTTTAAAAATGATCATCATCACAACTTGATAGTGTTTTATTATAAATAGTAATAATAGTATATTTATAATGTGATTAGGTTTTGCATTAATACTGATCGGACAAACCGCAAGAACTTTAGCGATGTGTCATGCTAAATCCAATTTCACTCATAGTATTCAATATGTAAAAAGACAAGAACATACACTTGTCACCACAAGGATATACCGGTAAGTTGTATTATGTGATTGGTCCATATGCAATATTATATTTTCTTATATTCCTTGTAATTAATTATATTCTTATATATCTTTACAATCTTATTATAGTTATTTAAGACATCCTTCATATTTTGGCTTTTATTGGTGGGCGGTTGGAACACAAATTTTTTTATGCAATCCTATCTGTTTAATTGGATTCCTGTTTGCTTTACATTCTTTCTTTAAAAATCGTATCGATGAGGAAGAACCTTTATTAATCAAATTCTTTGGCAACGATTATATAGAATATCGAAAAAGAACACCTGTTTTAATTCCTTTTATCAAATAATTTATAATACAATAGTTTAATAATCATAATTTAATATTCAAAAAATTAAATTTAATAATAATGTTATTATTTTTTTTTTTTAATAATATATGTATATACTGTATATATATTTATCTTCACAATTTTTCAAATTCTTGTCGCAATGGATTTTGAATAAAATTTCTTTTTTGGTAATTTATAATTTTTTCCGTATCTTTTATGTAAAATTTCTATAGCTGATAGTAATAGGGATGTAATACATTTGATACCATTGTCCTTAAATAAATTGCATCACCCAAGTAATGATAATACCAGGACCACCATGCAGAAATGAAAAATAAAAATAAAATGGTTTTATTCGAATAAACTTTCAATGTAATTCGAATACTCAAATTCATAACGAATAAAGTGAATAATTCGAATAAACCTT